GAATTAGCATACTGAGCTACGAAAATATTTAAATACTAAGGTGTACCAATAGTGCAACATTAAACTAATACAGCACTGAGTAATGAATAAATTACAATAACAAAATACTGTTAATAACGCCGAGGTAACCTCAGAATCGCTGAAAGTACCAGAATCGTGACTCTGCTCTGCCGTTTCGGGAATGGCAAATTCTTTTTTTTTTTTGTTTTGTTTAATCGTGACTCGCATTACACGTCAACATGACGCTGCGTCGAACCTATTATATTCGTCATTGTATTGAGTACTATTGAGGTAGTGACCGGCCTAACCTAATCCATGTTTATCCATTGCCAAAGCAAGAGGTGGGAGATGGGGGGTTGAACTTGAGGTATACATTCGCTGTAATCACTACAGAGAAATACCTAGGATAAGTTCTAATGCTGTTCGAACAATAATACTGATATATTTATACGAATATATAGCTCCGAGAATAATTTACGACAATAACAAGATACAGGGTGGGCCGTACTGCGTACTCGAGGGTGGACTATAGGAATGTCGAATCTCTTCGTTCATTGCCGCGTCCACTTTTATCGGCGCATCCTGTATCGCTTTAATAACGACTAGCTTTACATATACATATAATCGAAGCTACAGAGTCGTCTACACACAGGGTTTGCCACCCTTACGCATTCTAAACGCCGATGGCGTCCGAGAACACTGATTTCAAAATAAAACTAAAGTCTATACGTGAACCTAGGATCCTTATTTACTAGTAGAATATAAATATAATTAAACTGGAGTTTATTAGAAAATGGACATCGTAGCTTCTCGATAGTGGCAACCCTTGTGTACATTATTTACATGATAATAAACACTAAATAGAGGAAAAATGGAAGGTTGCATTTATCTGCGAGTATGATCACTTATTTTTCGTCGGAATCTACGTGTTGAGAGGTGAATGCAGAGGGTTCGTAGCCCGTCTTTACAGAGATGAGAATATTTTAAGATTGCTCAGCAACGCGAAACAATTACAGACAAATTACTAGATTCAGTTACATAGGTTAATCCTCTGCAGTGTGTTAATGTAGTCATAGCTGACATCGAATACAAATTTTATTTCATTTGAATTTGTAAAGTTTATCATGTTTTCGATGAGTTTAGGTGAAATTTCTTTGTTGTAATTGTTGAGTATTATTCCAACTTTGAACGTTATCGTGGAAGAATATATTATGCTAGAATTAATTGTATCTATCATTAAAACAATATGTAACAAACATTCCCCCGACCACTTTACAATTCCAACAACGTACCATTCGAATTGCCCGAATATTTTCTTCGGATACGATTAAGGGACCGTGTATAAGAGATTAGAGATTGTATTAGAGCTGGATACGCTACTGTCTCTGGGCGCAACTGTATATCGCGTGAAATATCTAGACAATGCTTGTACATTGTATCATTTACTCGAAATATTAACTATCGCTTAAACAAAAGTACGTACAGTCGCGTCGACTATAGCGAATAAGCATCGTATGTAATATACCATATCATTAAATGGTGAATATATATTACATCTAATATACTATATAATTACATGATGAATATATGTTATACACAATATACTATATAATTGTATACCAAAAATATATATTCGCTATGCTCGACTCGACTATAATTAATTTTGTTTCAAACGTCAAGCAGTCTACCATTTTCGTTTAAACAAATGAAGGAACCACTGGAAACTCTATATGTATAAACATAATCTGCATGTACATACACACGTTAGTGTATGTATATACCCATGTGCAACTTGTCACATGTCCCCGTATACATACGCCACACGTGTATCGATAGTTTTCGTCGTTACGTGTACATTTCTTAGGTACGCTAATTAAGATAAACGTGGCCGCGTCGCTCTATTAATCTTGTTTCGCGAGAGGATATGAGTTAATCGGTATCGACAATAACGGAAGACGCTCGCAAATGAAATGAAAGTAATATGTTATAAGGACAATAAAGTAGAAAAACGTTTCAGATTATACGTACTTGTCTGTATTACGCGAAATCGATTTCACCGTGACACTTTCGTGCTTTCGTTTCCCATAGCGTGAACGACACTTTTTGGAGAAAATTGACGTGGAAGTGATACCGCGAATTAGTTGGGAGGATCGATTGTTTGCCACTTCCGTTTCACGCTTCAAGAGACTGTTGATTGTTTGCTGATTTATGAAATTTTTACATCTGTTGTTCAAGATATTGTATATATTTATTGCGCTTAGAAATCATTTAAGATTCTTTATCGAGCTGTCACGCTCAGCGTTGAACATGTTTTGTATGTTTAATTCACTTAGAAATTAATGTTACGTTTACGCTTAGAAATTTATGTTACTTGTATCTAACGAGTAATAAACAGTTTCACATTTACACGACAATTTTGCTAAGCAAGAGGTGTCGGTCTCGTCAGGAGAAAATTACTATTATCGCAAAGCACGAACGTTTTACGATGGGAATATTGAATTCTAAGCTTCTCGTGACTTGTCGTTAGGTATCGAATAGTAGGCTTACGAATTTCTCGTTGATATTATTAAACTTCTGTTCGTGAAACGTTCAAATTATATCACAAATGTATGCGATCGGTCGAGGAGACTGTTTTGTGTCACGCGAAATAATTTATGAGTAATTCCTCGCGGTACTCGTATTTAGATGGGTGTCTGTACGCATGTGTGTGTGTGCGTGTGTGCGTATGCGCGCGTGTGTGTACATATACATACTTATATATACGTATATATATACGCATATACATATTATAATATAAATTTGATCGATCCTAGTGTATCGAACTGACAATATTAATGTTGATCGGATTTATTGTTTAACGGACAATAACGTATTTGTTAAGGGTATTCGAGAGCTAGAATTACGCGTGAGTCAAAAGAATCTGCTCTTCCGTGCTGTGCATCAAAGTACACGATCTTAGTGTCAACGATCTATCCATGCTCGATCACACTATTCTCATTCTCCAGCTGGGCGCCTTCGATTAGCGCGTGGCCATCGATTCTCGGCACCTTCGAGTGCCATTATCGCGGCGTTGAAGTCTCCCGAGCACTCGCAGTGGCAACTCTCGTTTTACAAAGAAATTATAAGTTTAACTACCGAAATTTTTCGATTAACGTCTCTGGATAAATTGCCATCTTGGACCTGTTGACTATTTAAACTATAATTTGACTTCGATACTTTGAATCAAACGGCAACGCGTCGATGGCTGACGCCCAGCGTCGGTTCGAATGTCTTAGACAGAAACGTAGGACTCAATTTGTCGCGTGTATCATTGTAAACTGGCGAAACACACATACTCTGTGTCTTGATTCGTTGTTACTTTAACGTTCTTCAGATTCACGATTCGCACCCTCGCGCGGCGTTTTTTCATAATGATCTCCGAGACATGGCAAGAAAAAAAAAAAAAATAGAAAACAGTAATCTATGTACCCGCGGTGGGCATTTTAAAAAAAAAAATCTATTTTGACTGTTTGAACGAAAAAAAAATAAAAAAAAAAATACAAAAATAGCGGGCCTGTTCTATATACACACTAGTAGCTGCAAAAAAAAAAAGTTAGAGCGAAAAATGAATCATTGTTACACGCCGGTAAGGTCTGGTTTGTTAATAATTATTACAACAATAATTATGTAAAATATGTATGTATACTGTAATTTTGAGTGTATTATGTAATTAAAAACAAGAAATACCGATTATTGACAATAAATTCAAAGCCGATCTTTTCAAGTACTCATTTTCTTTCAGAGAAACGGGTTCAAACGCGCGAACGTCCGATTATAGCTTTGTGGCGATTGCTATGCGTCGCTTTCGCAACCATTTCGCATCGCATAATTTACGTTACGTTAACGTTAGGGCATTTTCATCGGTGACTGTTAATCGATGTATTTATACGCGCGCGCGTAACATCCTGCTCTTTTTCATTCTTGTGCGCGATGTGCACATAACTGGCCGTAAAAACATGATTTTAATAATTAACATCTCGTGGAACAAGCTAGTTTCACCTTCGTATTGTGCTACATATTCGGGTGGAGCTTTGAGCCGCTATAATTACATTGCAAGGCAGTCTTTTTAGGTTTGTTTAATAATAATCACCTGTTTCTAATTTATTATATTTTTTTCTCAAGAATTCAATGCGGTAAGTGGAATATTTATTATAAATATTCTCTTGGATGTTTCCTTTATCTCGCCCTAAATTTAGACGAAACTTTCTAAAGTATTTTCTATAAACGCGTTTAGACGTGACACAAATACATCAAGTTTCAAAGGAGAGCGGGTAAAGTAAATGGAAGAAATTGAGGAAAAACGAGATGGGCACACTTTTTCGACGCGCACTGTAATTCCGTTTCTTCCGTCACCCATTCGGACAGGTTGTGATTAAACTCTCCAAGAATCCAGTTCCGTGCCTCATTACGGAATCGTAACTTTCTCGTCGTTCCTACGATTCTTTGGCTCGCTCCCCACGTCAGAGGGATTACGGTTAATTAACAACTCCAATTACGAACGCGAAACTCGTTCAAAAATTGCGTCACCCTAAAATAGTTCAATTTTTACATCCCTTGTCACGTTCGGAAATACGTGAAAGTATAATCGAAGAATAAAATTGAAACGAAGTGATCCTAAGGAAAAATAAATTTTGTGGTTTCTCTCTTCTCTTCAGTATTTCATGAAAACAATCGAGCCCCACATCCCGTGTAACATCCTTTCGATATTTGATCATTCCTGCGAGAGGGATGGTTCCGTATTTTCCCTCCTGGTAACGACACGCGACACTTTCCCGGAAATTGAGGAAATTGATGAAGATGCAACCGTAGGGTGAGCGCACCAAATAATTGCACCCGTTCGTCGAAGCGTCGCGGTGCGCTGCGTAGCCCACGCACGCGCGCAACCGCGTGGCAAAAAAGGGGAAGTCCCGAGTTGAGTCTCGTCGGAGAGCTCGTTACTTTCTAAAGTCCCCCCGCAGCCTTTGGGTGTCCTCTCACGGGACGACTTTGCATTTCGCTATCGGCCGCGAGAAGCGGCGGGAAGAGCAGTTTTACTGATTTTTCGCCACCGTCGTTGCCTGAATGTTATATCACAAATCACGGGAGTGCGGGAGATGGCGGTCAGTGTCGTGAGATACCTGCTACTCGTCACCCTGGCCTTTCTGCAATACCGTAAGTAATCAGAGATACTTGAAGTTTCTCGTTTGGATACAAATTTCAAGTATGGGATAGAACGTGAGTGGGAGAAGGTCAAATTGGTAAAATTGGTCATTAGCGTTCGTTAAGGAACTAAAAAAATGAATTTCAGAGGTGAGACAATAATAAAAATAAATCTGGATAGGATTCGTGAATCTAATTTTTAGTAGGCTCGAGACAAAATATTAGTTTCGTTGTTTCCACGAGTTTCAGCTTGGAACCAACGTGTTACTTGTAATCAACTTATGAAAATTCTATTCTAATCGAAGGAATCATAAATTTCTTAATATGAATGAAATTCCGCCCACCTTTGGCTTTCTAGCGCGTCGTTTGTTCACGATTTGAATCGCCGCGTTCGAACTTTGCCCAGCGACTGTGCTCGATCTCGATCTACGCTCGTGGAACGCGTGGCCTGCTTGCCACCCAAAGGGAAACCTGTCCCATCTACGATGCGATCTATGCGTGGCGCGTGTTTCTTATGTCTCCGAGTGATGGTTCGTAAAGCTTGTTTCTGAACATGCCGGGATCGCCTGGTGAAGTTTGTGCCTGAAATAATTGACATAACGAGCTGGCTAGTTTCTTCTTCTCGCGATACACTAGAGCGAAACGATGTCCAATTTTCTTTATTACATAGGCAAACATTCGTGGACGACACTGCTTTCAGATCAGAAAATTTCTTAACCATTCGCATCGCACTGAACAGTGGAAAATTCGTTCTTATCATCAAATTATTATGTTTTTTTTTATTTTTATAAACGAATTGAGAGTAGAACGAACAACGACTGTTTACGTATAAAAATGATTCACGCTTTGGACTTGAAAGTCTCCGATAGGAATGCGGGCCGTGTAAGTCGATTTAAGTGCTGTCGATGTTCTCCTCTGTAACCTCGTTTCCTGTAGGGACGGTGATTTGTAAGTGTGGTTTTACTTTCTGCGTTTCTCGTCTGTGGTTACGATGCAACGTTTCCTTTTGGCGCGTCGCATCGTTCGCGGGAAATGCAGATCTATTTCGGTACCGGAGATTATGAAGATATCATAATCCGAAAGTCCGAGCTGTCACTTTAAGATACTCGTTGCTCGAGCAGTTCAGCTTTCTTCAATTTGCTATGCAAACCTGTCGAGTGCATGTGCTTGTTTAACTTATTTGTAAACCAAGCGAGTATAACGCTCCTTGACACTCGAACGGATATTTAACGACGATATTTGTATGTTTAAAAACGCGAAAAATCCTCCAGATGTCTATTCTCGGCTTCGCACGATGACGTCATTTCAGTGATTACAAAACAAAATCTTGAAGCCCTTCTTGGAAGACCCTCTATAAGGAAAACTCTTGGAGATCAGTGATTCTCGTGTCGCCACTCGACAGGCACGTAGTATCGAGCACGTGGCTCGAGGTGAATGCGTTAAGACTCGTTCAATGCGACACTAATTAGGTTCGTGTAGAACGAGCATGCGTTTATGAATTAACATCGACGCTGATTCCCAAGTCGACAATGTAAAGATATGCTCGCCACGATGAGAAACATGAAAGCTCATCGGAATGGCAAATTGCGCGGCGAACGACCTTCACCTGGTCTCTTGGTTTCTCGTAATGGATCAGACGGTCAATTATCAGTGCAAATCGAGCGTAACTTGGATGACGACTGACCTGGACCAGTTGTTTCCAAACTTTTTCAACAATAATACCTTCATAAAATATAGAATTTTAGCGAAAGCCTCACGTATCTTATTTTTTCTGTATCCTCTTTGGATTGCAAAGCATCGTGTGTCAAGTCTCCTACTTTGGAAAACACTTTAGTTAGTAAATAAAAACTGTTAATCTGCGCCGTTTTTCCTCGTAGACGATGTAAGCGCGGAGACGAAGACGTTCAAGGACCTGTTTAACAGTACATCCTGCGCTAAGCCACCCTACGAGTGTCCCCATCCGCAGATCCAATTTTATTTGTACACAAGGTAAGCTCCTTTCCACGGACAGAGCTAGATCAAGAATAGTACGTCAGTGGAAAGCTGTCGCAAGGAAAGTTATTTTCATCTATATTTTATGCACATATATTTAATATCCAGTTGAACTCGGTCGTAACGAGCACAGACACGTCGAGATCGCGACATTAAAGTGCAAAATAGCAAAAAACTTCAATTGGAATTTGTCGTTCATATTACCTATGAATGTATTATAATTTATACAAACATGTTGATATAGATATAGTAGGTATCTTTTTAAAAATGTTCTTTACTCTTTATTTTACTTTTATCTTACTCTTTAAACCCTTCTATTTTACGTTGTCTCGGGCCCCAGGAAGTTATAAAGCGTGTTTCCGAAGTCTCCATCAGTCCGATGCGGTTCCTCACTTTCTTTCATCGTTTGAAGAGGTTCACGGCGAGTCCAAACGTTCCGAGGAAGAACCGCTACGTAAGACTCTCGATTTCAAGATCACGATCATCTCGTCTCGTATTGAAAGTGGCCTCGTTTCGAGGTTCACCTTTCTCCCATAGCTATAGCCGCTTGGCATTGGCATGCTCGGACACTTTTACTCGGATCTACTCGCTCGTGCTTTTCCTCTTTCGTCGGACGCGTCGCGTCTCTTTCTGCGGAACGCTGCTTGCCAAAAGTGACGAGTAACCGATTAAAGAGAATCGACTATTCCTGAACTTCATATCTTCGGACATCGACACCCTTCGCTTTCTACCGTCAGTGGCGCTCCATAGTACCCTGGGGCCCGAGACAAAATGGGATTCAGGGGAACCTAGAAAAAAGGAGTAAAGTTGGATCGATCGTTTTTCAGAGACACGCAAAAGAAACCTTTACGCTTAGACGTTCGAAGGTTCGACTCCCTTCACTATTCCAGATTTAACAGGTCGCATCCCACTAAAATCATTATACACGGTTTTGGTGGCGGAAGGAATCTGATACCTAGTCCAGATCTTCGAAAAGGTAATTGTTTTTGTGTACTACTTTCGATGTACAGGCCACAAAATACCATTTACACGAGTATTAATCGTTTCGTTATGGGTCAATCGTGATTTTGTTTCTAATTCGAATGGATAGAATTAAATGTTGGTTGCTAGTAGAAAGTTGCAACCAGAGTTTGACATTGAAGAACGAAGAGACATCTACTCGCATTGTGTTGGAATAATACTTGACCGATCGTTTTTAGGCGAGTGCAACGACGAAATCTTAACATTTTCACCCACTAGCGTATCGATGTGTGAAACTTTCGATTTCAGCGTATTTCACGCGAGGCAATTACAATATAATAATCGTCGATTACGGTGCGTTGGTACGCGAGCCCTGTCTATCGCAGATACAATGGGGTCCAGATTTCTGTTCACGATGTATTGCTCAATTGGTAAGGTACTTGAGGGATCATCCTCGGGGTACGAGGGTGGAGAATATACACGTGCTTGGGTACAGCGTGGGTGCCCATATAGCCGGGCTGATTGCGAATTATTTGCCCGATGACAGACTTGGAAGGATCACAGGTAACGTCTGCAAGTCGATTCCTTCATCGTTATTCGCACAGATCATTTCTTTCGTTCGTGTATAGTTCGATGATAAAAAAGAGTCCCCGATGGGCGTGGCTTGAATATGGTGGGGGTAGCAGGATCAGTGTTCACGCCTCTCAGGGATCTTTTTTAACTTGTCACGCTATATATATATGCTTCTCATTCGGATATGCCCAATAAAGTTAAATGTGTGTACTGCTACTTACCTGATCGATTTGGTTTCCGATAAAACAGGACTCGATCCGACGATATTTTTCTACATGAATGGAAACCGATCGATGGATCTGGACGAGACGGATGCTCACTTCGTCGACGTGATCCACACCGGTGCTGGCATTTTGGGCCAATGGGGGCCAACGGGACACGCGGATTTCTACGTAAACGGAGGCTCCAGTCAGCCCGGATGCGCGACGACTTCCTTGCTCCGTAAGTACGATTTCCTTATCATTTTCCTGCTTACTGAACGTTGGAGTGAAACTCGTTGCATCAATCGGTTTGCACATAATGTCTTCTTTGTTTGCAATTACCTGTGACGCGAGTGGCATTTAAGAAAATCTCGTGGAGAGAGTAAATTGAGGGGAAATCTTGATGATTCATTTCGCGATGGAACTATTACTGGTCAAATTCTCTTTATTTAGTATCGGAAATGATTAACAAGAATTTTATACAGCATCGTAGAGGCAAGTTTGTACGTAAACATTTGTTTGAAAGTTATCTCCAGAACCTGCAAATTGTTTCAGGAGTTGGCAGCGTAAAGAAACGAAAGTTGCACCATTTGACACTTTTTGTTTTAATAATACACACTTGGTGAAAGTGCTAGTGTCAGGACGTGACTAATGGGAAACTAAATGAATTGCAACAAATTTCATGGTGACATCGTGTTTATTGATACATTTTGAAAGGGGGCTATGTTACAAACGTTGTGATTATGTGTCTTTTAATTTCTGTGGGTATATTATTATTACGAAAAGAATTTTTTGAGCACTAAAGAATGGTAATACAAATGGGTAATTAAATTTGAGTGAAAGTTCAATTTATTACGCTGTAGGAAAAGAGTAAAACGAACGACCATAAGATAGCTTCAGCATAAATTAATAATATTACAATAACGTTGATACAACTGTTCCTAAAAGAATTTTAGTTAAACAGCTTATGCGTTCATAGAAGGACTATTAACGTTTCGAAATCGTGGACACATGTGATTGAAAACAAAAAAGAACATGTAGAGTTACCTTATCATTAGAGAAAACGTGTTATGGAACGGATGGTCGACTGTGAATGAAATCAGTGGAACGTTTCGTCCTCAGAGACCCTGTCGTGCGACCACACAAAGGTAACGCCTTATTACATAGAGTCAATCACGACGAAAGTAGGATTCTGGGCAGCCCCCTGCGGAAATCTTTTTTCTTACCTGATCGGATGGTGCAAACCCAAGCTGGACGAGTACATTCTTATGGGAGAAGACGCCCCTCACACGTAAGCAGCCTTGTCAATTTCTCTCGATCAAAAAAATCATTCTATTCTTTAACCGAATTTACCAGGATTCAGCTTCGCACAATTTGCCGTATTTATCGCTCATTTTTATCACCTATATCATCAGACTGAACGGTTAGAAAGTTTTGAGTAAAAGTAATGGAAATATTTTTTTAGAAAGTCAAGGAATATTTTGTTCCTCTTCTGGATACCAATCGATAACATGTTTCTCTAAATCGTATTCATTTCACACTTTCCCGAATCTATAATACAATACGAATCAAATAAAAAAAATTCCTTTCCATCGAGTGTACCAATTTGGAAATTTGTTGGAAATTTTGTTGGAATTTTCAGAGCACGAGGCATCTATTATCTCTCAACAAACGCACACAAACCGTACGCCCGCGGTCTTCCCGCAAAAAGCCAGCAAACGACAAACCGGAAGCGATCGTCCTACCGCCAGTATTGAGCTTATTGAAGCAACTAATCAACATAATTATAGAATAGAGTGTCTGCAATTAGTCGCATACATTGTACGTTGTGTTTGACCCTGTTGTTTCTTTGTACATTATATTTTTAATTAGTTTTTACGCAATAAACTATTTTCCTACGCAGCCTACCGTGAATTCCGCGTCCCATCATCCGCGACATCGTTCACGATTCGTGATTATCGTGTCCGTTGCATATTAGATTGTATCATCATCGTGATCGAAGTACTTTCACCTTTTTTCCGTCGTAACGAATTCCATGGTATCGTTTGAATGATTAATTGAATCGATTCAAGAATGCAAGTGCAAACTGTCTTCCTCTTTAAAATATATTTTTCCCTGCACAGTGTTTTAGGGCTTGAAGAACGACTAGAACACGTATCGTTTTCTCGCGATTGCTTAAGAAAGAATTGGTCTCGGGGACAGTTTTATGTTAACAACAATATTTATTACATAATAATTACGATATAATAATAACTTCTATGGATTTACAGTACACTGTCGCACTAAACCTTAATTATGTATAATATGCAATGGAATGATTACAAGTTGTTAAGACATCCACGTTTCAAGCTGGAGGCGTTCAGGGCTTCGTTTTCAGGTTGGCTCGAATGCGAACGACAAGGGAACAGTCCCTTCGTCTGCTCCACGTTCCATCGCGGGAACGATGCTCGATCGTTAGAAATCGATCGCGATCTACGACTCGGCCAGGGATCAGAGATGGACGAAATTTCATTCGAATATCAAACGACGAATAAAAACAACATGCGACGATCTGTTCACCGCGTTTCCACCCGTCGAAGTCGTTCGGATATGCCCATATTCGTGAAATATAATTTAATTGTGTTCCATTACGATTTTTATCGAACAAACGACGGCTTAAAAATCGTTCGTATTTTATTCGTTATTCGAAATTCGAACAAGAATTTTGCCCATCTCTGCCAGGAACGACGCGTTTCGCTTTCGCCGGGCACCGTCCCGAAACGTAAGACTTCAATTTTATGTTTATATATTATATATATAGATCATAAAGTTAGGAATAAATTTCTCACTACACCTTACGGCGAATAACGTAGGATCTACCATAAAAAATGGACAATTTCCCGTGTGTTCGGTGAAAAATGACAAACCGAGAAACGAATCTTTAGCACGGAGTCGTTCTCCTGGGAGCCAGAACGATGCTTCAACAACTAGAACGAGCTGTGCGCTTGAGATTTTCGTTTTCTTCGTTTTTAACGTTACGTTATGTTGCGTTTATTAATGTATAAATATATTTCTCAATCGTTGTCAATAGTTTGGTATTATCTATTATTGTTTTTTTTTTTTTTTTTTATACATATATATATATTTCCTTTGCTTGGACCCTTTCGCGACGGCAACGTCTACGCGAAGAGTTCATTTTCGTTTTATATGTTTAAAATTTGCGCCAACTGAGATGCGTCAACGAGCAATGTTGCACGACTACCAGAGTTGAGCAAAATTCTAATTCAATCAGGTAACTGTATGATAATAGAATGATGTATCTCACAATGAATGGAGAAATAAATAAATGTTCAATTATTAATTTTAATGACGAATAATTTGCTGTATGGTGCATGTAATTATCATTCGATTAAAGTTTTGCCCATTTCTGGTCACAAGTTACCGGCCGAACTGGCCCGAATAGGGCCGAATTGGGCCGAGTAGCCCTGTCCACAGACGCTACGAAGCTTTCGGAGGGTTCCCTCTCCCCCATTACCGTGGTGGCGTTAGTGCAATATGGCGCGTGGAGGATGACGAAATTGGCGTAAGAGACGACAATTTCTGGACGACACTGTTGAACGTTTCACTTCGATACCCTCTAAATCACTCAACTCGTTAAAACAAGCCATTTCGCAGAGTATATAAGTAATTTTACTCTGGAAAAGTAGTGTTCGACGTCACGAGAACATCGTACTACCGGCATTCGAAGTCAGGGTCAAGCAACGCCAAGCTGCATGGTAACTATTCTTTCGATATTTGTTCATAGTACGTTTCATCGGTATTGTGCCTCGTTTTACACGATAAATTTGAATCTTCGTAAGAGTTTAATCGATAACGTCTACTTTGTCAATGATTTTAACGAATAATATCTGAGATAGTCATTCGGTCGCGATTGTCGCGGCAAGTTCATGGACGCCATTTCGCGTCATTTGGCGCTAAACTTTCCACTTGACGAATTTATGATCAGACGCTCAATGTATCGGTATAATACCTCGATAATTGTCTCTGAAAATATAATTATTGTTCGTTGACGTCAATTGGCAATGGCGATATAAAAACTACTGCGGATAATAGAAATTTATAATCATCACGCTTGGTAATTATGTGTATTACAGGACTGTCCACAGGTGGCACCTGTTACGTGGACATCTTTCTCCGTCTTGTGTCCGAAACGAAGGAGAAAGACGTCATTGTGGTTCAGAACGGGCAGAAGCGTCTTTGGACGCACGTTTCGGTTCGTGGACAGGCCTGGCGCGCGAGGATACGTTCGAAAACCGTCTCAAAAGGGTAAGTGGATCATTGTTAACGATATTATGGAATCTTCTTTGTTGAGTGACGAATCACGGTGAGGAAAAGTTAGAGAGCGTAGTGATTCGCGTTATCGAAGGGGAGCGACATCGTGGACGATTCGTTTAATCTACACGCAATTATTCCTATTCTGCTGTTGCATCGTTCTACTCGAGGAGAAACAAGAACCGAAAGTGTCAACTCGACGTTATTGTTAGGCTAAATTAAGGCTTTACAAAGATTCATCGTACTTCTGCTGTTTCTTCTTCTTTATTTACATCATCGTGCTTCGTCGCTACGGGCAATTTAGATCGACGCACCCGGCTGCGTCTTCGTAGAAACCGTGAATGACGCTAACGTGACAATCGGTACGTTTATTGTTGAAATCAGTGGCCCGCTATCTCGCGGTAAATTTAAAAGACTCGAAGGACCCAGGTCACTGCTAACAAAAACGACCATGCTCGAAAGACTGGCGTAGCGTGTTTCAAGGGAATCGTTGGTAAACGGATGGGAAGAACGTATGGTGTTTGACTGTGCGTGAGTTCGATCGCGAGTGCTAACGATGATCGATAATGTCTGCTTCTAGGAAAACTTTGTCGTCGAAATCAAACTCGTTGCCGTTGCAAGTGATTGTAAGTGCCCGAGGGACAACGCAAGACAGACGGTACGGGGGACTATAGTGCGTTCCATGGGACGACCAGAGGACCTAGCCTAACCACGTGACTGCAACATGATCGCTTGATAAGTGAGATACTCTTCGAAGTTACATAAATTCACGATACATGTCTTTGATTTGAATATCCGAAATTTAATTTTGGTAGAATTTACGCAATTTACTATTTCTGAATAGAAATAACAATGATCATTTTACAATTTTATACATTAATAGAGATAATACATAAATGTTGGGTTGTCCGGAAAGTTCATGCCTATTTTTAAGAAAAATTCAAAGGCATATTTGAACTTTGATTTATATTTATTGAATTATATATGTACCATTTTGTTCCATAACCTTTCCACTTGTTAAGGAATGTACACGTATTATATGTTTTCAGCCATTCCGATATATTCAGACCTGTACCGCCTACTAAAAATCGGCATGGACTTTCCAGACAGACCAATAATAAAAGTAGCTAGCCAATGAAATTTTAGTCACGTGGTAGACGTAGTTCATATCCTACTTTATCGTCTTACAGAAAGTGCTACAGGTTTGGGAATTATTATCGACACAGCTGAAAGGCGTACTCCTTTATACCGGTAAAATTCGAAACGCTGAAACTGATTAGTAACAAAATCAATTATCATTCGGAAATTTTTTACCGCTCCACGATAGCTATGAGCAGTTATACGCTTCGTAAAAAATCACAGGCATCGAGATCTTAGGCACGTATTGGATGCTCGCATTTCGCCGTAGATTCGCTTCCAACTTCGCCAAATGCTTTCGAGCGTGCTCCGATCGGTATGCACAGTGCTGAATTTCTTTCGTGTTATTGTTTTCATAGATCAAGCCTTCGATTCGTAGCATTGAAATTAAAACTGGTTTCTCAAACCCTCGACAACGAAATCAGTGCTCTGCACGTTTTAATTATCGTTGTTTCATAGAACTAATAGCTGTAACTATAGCGACATGATTTTAAGCGAAGTCGAATTTCTAGGATTCGTATTTATTGAATATTTTTTTTTTTTTGGTATGGTAATTTGGTATTTCGCAATTTCAACAGACACATAATCCCAATGTTGAATAATGTTGATTTACATTGCACGCGACAAGTTAAACACACGAATTATACATTTCGATAATTGAAAATTTATTTTTTGGCGTATCTCTAGTTTTTCATCAAAGAGAAAGACGCTGGATTCGGAACACGCGTATTATAGTATAGGATAGGTTAAGACACTATCGAACGAAATAGTAACTTCGTCGTCGAAGGGTTAGGTTGAAATAACACTGAATACGTAGTAAACAGAAAAACGTCACCGTCGAATCCGAAAATGAAGTTTCTCGAACGATCACTTTCAACACTGTTCGATTCTATACGTTCAGGCAAAACGTAAGCACGCATTCGTGAGCCTGCTCGGATCGATTGCCACCTATTGATTCGAATAAGTTACTCCGCCGCATTTCGTACATCACCGTGTATACGATCTACTCAACTAAACCACTACGCGTTGCGTTTTTTGTTTTGTTTCTTTAATTATCGTTATCAGTAGTAATATTAATAATATTTACCATTATTATTATTATTTTCTCATCGACGACGATCGACCCGTTTACTTGAGTAGTACTCGCACTGCTTATGGTAAATGGTAATGATCGATAATCGTGGCATCGGTGATAAGTTCTCTCTTCACGCGAATAACGAATAAACTCTTATCGGAATAAACATTTATTCGAACATCGCTTACGAGTCAAATATCGTTCGAGTACTTCCTGATACCGAATAAACATTTATCCCCGTATCCACGAATAAATCCACGAATAAATCCTTCCGTTTTACTCGTTATTCGAAATAAAGTTTGCTCAACTCTGATCCTTAACGTCACGTCGCGAACGGCGACATCGATCGATTGTCATACGCCAGTGGCGTTCAAACGTGGAAATCAAGTTGGAAAGCAATGAAAGGCACTATTTAGACGTTACGTGGACACAGGTAGCGCCGATAATAGTCATAAAACAGTACGTTACATCCGCCCGCGCATATTTACAAGCGGGCTTGTTGCCGTTCGCGTGCGCGCTCCCCGATTGTGCCATTCGCGATCTCTCGCGTCATTATGGCGAACCGAGGGAGAATTTTTGAGAATATTTCGAGGCAATCTGGTCGTAGACGGTTACTCGGTTGTATTATCGTTTCGCACGAATGAGAACTCTACACGATGCGATCATGAAGTAGATGAGCGGGCGATAATTTTATCTGAAAATGGCGAAGAGTATGTAGTTCCATTGTCAGTCACATTTCTAGGTTTAAACTCTTTACTACCGCTCTTTCAATCGTACACTGTTCGTTAGGAAAATACAAAACGTGGCTAACATCGAAAGAAAATCAAGTTGAAAAGTATCGTCGTGTCCTAGAATTTGTAACCTCAACATTTTCTAAACTATTCAAGTTACTAAAATTTAGAAATCGTGAAACATTTTACCGTAGTACGCATGCAAGATAACGCGTAGGTGTTAATTTTTGTTCTAATTTACCAATTGGAGGCGTTACTTTCATTTTCCTAGTCTTGGTTATTTTCTTCGCAAACTTTGTATTCTTTGATCTCTTTGATCTCTTTGATCTCTCGATTGATTTCGTTTACGATTGTTACTTTTATTTCGAAATGGTTTCCAGATAAAATTAGACCGAAGAAGGAACAGTTCATATTATATTTTTTAACGCGTGCAAGCGACCCGTCGTCGTGGCGTGTCGATCGATGTCGGGCGTCGCAACGCTTTTTCAACAGTTAACCCCTCTTTATTTCTCGTTAAAGTTTTAAGTACAATGCTGCATAATAACACGACTCGAAACATGCTACCGATATAATCGTTTATGATAATTGGTCCTGAAAAAAATGATAGAACCAAATCTGGTTAAGTACGGTGATCGTGTATGGGCGATAAGAAAACTGGAACTTGGAATGACATATCTAAGGATCAGCGCTTCTCTACGTGCCTACGCTTACACACCTCTACTCTACGCTTTCTATCTTACTTGCGATGATTCGATTTTAATGTATACTAACGACTGCTTTCCTAAACTGCACGTGTGAAATCTGTGTACCACTTTGCCGACCGAAACGCTTGTCAGCGGCGAATCATATCGTATTATCGGCGGTGCAGTCCGTAATTACCTGCAGCGTTTCGCAAGTTTCAACTATTAAATGCACGGTCTACGTCGTGCGCGTAAGCATGGAATGTCTCGTAATTTGTATTCAAAGAAAACAATAATAACGAAAGCTTGGAACGATATTCAATATACACGTTCAACGTATCGGATAGATATCGAGTGGAGTTTCCAAGCTATGTAAAGTTCAGCGCAGAGATCGGCAAAATTTTTTGAGAAAAATCGAAGCTTTCGTTGAGCTCATTTCTTATTCGTCACTCGAAATTGTTGTCTGATCAGGAATTTTGTCAATCTCCGGTTCGGTGCAAGCGTGCATAATTCGTGAATATTTATTAGCACCGTCGGCAAAGTCGTACCATGCGTTGTTATCTCAGGTGACTTAACGTACTTTTTTCCCGGACTAGATACTCTGATCGGCGATCGTGTTCTCGCATGGAGTCTTGGAACGATTCCCCTTTATCGAGGGCTCGATAAAGCGGTACGAAATGAAAATAGAGACAAATCAGCGATCATCTTGATCCCCGTTTCGTTTCCCCGCGGTATAAAATTAATGCTACGTTTAGGTTAATTTTAATGTAACGAACGTTACTGTAAGCTTAAATTAACGTCACACCGTTGAGGTAACGAATATGTATTCGATGGGAATTAGTAACTTACGCGGATATGCATGCGGCAAAACGAAAATTAGAGCGAACGTAGACGAATCCCTTAATTACGAATTTATGTACATTTCTAACCAAAAGATTTTCTATTACTTTTTCTTTTCTTCTTTTAAATACAACACGGAGTCAACTGAATCGAGAAAAGTATTTTATTCGATAGCATCGTTGGTGCACGTTACTTTTGTTTATTTTGGGTAAGCACGTGCTCCTCGAAGCGCGGTCGACGATCGATCATCACAAGCGGAAACGGTCGTCGCCTCTGTGCTTCGAGCATCGCTTGCTTATGCTTATGTTAGAGGTAATCGGTAACAATCGATATTCGGGTCTTTGTAGCGTAGTTCGTACAATGGTAACAGATATACAGGCGAATATATCACTGGATTAGCTTCGAGATTCTGGGAAATATGCAAGGAAAGGATCCGTGTCCTTCGTCTAGGATACCCTTTTAGATTAACATCCATCATCGTGTTTTCTTTTCTTATCTTACACGGCTCATATCAGAACTCGTACGCGCATGATCGTCACTACGATAAGAAGCTAGAAATCATAAGCACATCACCAAACTCTTGAATACATCTGACACTCTTCACGATACGTTTACTGTTTACGTGTAATTAACGTTATTACTAATCCTGTTATCAGTAGTGATATCGTTACATGATTATTACAACTCGATCGCGTGCAATTTTTTTTTTTTTAACTGGATCGCGTAGTGCACACGCAGTGGCGCGTTCATGGGACCCGAAAAATGGGGTGGATCTTAGAGGAGGTTGTGCAAAAATTAGGGAACCTTTTTGAATACGTATTTATTTGAATTAGTCGAAGAGTAGGTGAAATGAGATTTTGATTTTGCTGGGATATTCAATTTTGAAAGATGCTGAGGATTCTTGACAGATTAGGACAACGCGCCACTGTGCACGCGTGCTACGCTGGGTAGGGGGCAAACCAAGTAGAGAAAGATCGAACCGAATGAGAATTAATAGTCCTAGTGCTTACGATGAAGTTCGAATGGACATATGTATACATGCAGTCATCAAGAACCGGAGTCTCCGAAATATTCACGACGTGATATTTACAAAGTCTCTATGCGTTGTTCGGCGACGAGTAGGGCGAGGGTTGGGCAATGAGAACTCGAAGAAGCGTTAACGACCCGTTTACATGGGTTCTTTAGCGACGAACTCTCTGGTTAGCTTGTCGACTTGGACTGACCGGAAACGGTGATCGGTGGCGTCGAAGGAAGTTCTCTTTAGGGTTAAAGAAGGGGCTGGGAGGGTGTCGATGGGACTTCTAATAACGTGCTTTTATTTCTTAGCTTAGAACACGTATCACGCAAAAAACGCTACTTTTATTGTACCAATCGACCCGTTTTCTTTTGTCTCTTTCAGTCGAATTCGAAGCTTCAAGGTCAACGATGCAATAAAATATATGAAGTTTTTTTTTTTTTTTTTTACAGCAGTCAAACTCAGTTAATACTGTATAAAGTCAGTTTCTCTAACAATCGATTCTTTTTTTCCTTAATCATTTCTCGAAGGATACATATATAGTATATAATATATGTATACATATATATAATGCCTTGTAGATCTCGGGACGTTCGTAATTGATTTAATATATATAGCGTTTTCACATCGAATCTTCAATTCTCAGAGATACATAGAGAACCACCCCATGTCGTTACTCCATATTTTCCTTCTTTATGTCCATGTTTCAAGAAATAGATCAACGAAACGATAACGCAAGTTATACAATCGGTAGGCCCGTTACGTCTTTTTTTTCCTTTTAAAAACAATAACAGTATCTGCATATATAACACGTGGTAAATATATATATATAATACATATATTGTATATATACGAATATGTTTACAGTTGCACGTACACGCGTATGTATAGTGTTTCGACGAAGACACGGAGTTTGGAAAAATCGAACGACGGTGTTCGATTTCGTCAAAGAATCCCTGTCTTCGATCACGAGAACTCGCCAATCGAAACGTGCTACATGCTCCGTCGTCTTGGAGCTTCATTCACGAACGAACCACCGTACGCGTATCCGTCGATTATAACAGTTTCACCGATAAGACGAGTAGACTAACGAAGTGATACTAGTAAAAAACATTATAATCGAGGGATGCTGTTATAACAAAAACCTCCGTGGAGGTTTGTGAGTGAAACCGCAGAGGAACGTTTCATTTGTTTACCGTTTCACGCGGATAGGGGTTCCGAGGTTACCGCGCTTTTCGTTCGTTTCGATCAACGAAGTTCCCTGTACAGGTAGCGCATAGTCTAAAGTCGTTACTGTACGAAGATATCGCGATCAAAAGCATTGCCTCTTTGCACAGGAAATAAAAATGTCGTTACTTCGATTGAACGTGAAAAAGGAAGCGGGAAAGCTCGTTTTAGTCGCGTGAAACAAATAATAGAAATCGTCGGCTAGATCACTGTCCCTCAAACCTAGAGTGGATTCGAATTGTTTTCTTGGTACTGATTTTAAAAAGAAATAATATGTCTTCTAGAAAGCGCGATACAGTTTTATATATTTTTTTCATTTGAACTGTCGTTTAAAGTAATGCACACGAATGTGACTTTTGTAACAGATTCGTATATTTTGTTTTTTAATAGAGTATATCGATGAAATCTCATGGTGAACGAGCTAATTAATAGAATCTTTGGGTTTCAAGCTTTCGAGGATTAAGGTTTTCAGTGTCCTTGATGTTTTTGTTAGGAGACAACTGAAAATTCGTTAATGGACGTTCGTTTAGTTGGAATAAAGTATCGCAAGAAGCATTTTTGTTATTTCCGATAGCGCTCCCAGTTTGAGGAGCATTGGGCTAGGTAATTTCCGCAATTAAACGACAACGAACGTCTTCGCTTCGTAACCATTACGTGCACCGTTTACAATGTACTCGCCGTCGCTATAATTAATTATATCATCTTTGCACGAACACGACTATATCAATCTGTACAAATGTCGCTAAACGTATTCCCGAAAAAAATTACACAACTACCCACGCAATTCAAGACACAATCTACAATCGTATACATTATATATCTATATATGTTTTATATACTATATACATAAAATATATAGTATATGCATATGTATAAATATATAACTTCTAATAAGATCAATAGCGTTAGTATTCCTTATAAACACCTTATCAAACGTGTTTCCGATTAAACGACAAAAGGAAACATGCTACCGGAGCTTCTGTCCAGATTAATCGTATTTGGAAGTCGAAACACGTGTTTATTTTTCTTCATTTTCTATTTTTTTTTTTTTTCGTTTTGCAAATATTCAATGCCTTCATCGAGATACCTCGAAGAGGACGCTTCTCGGTTGAAGTTTCATTCAATGTTACATCTACAGGGAGAAGTATAGTAGATATACGTATATACAAGACGCTACACTCCACGAGAACATATTTGTTAATACTAAAATCTTCTTGGTGGTATTTTATTGTTATTTAGTTAATAATAGATTATTAATATCTACTAAGTATTTATTTTCTTTTCTCTTTTCATATTTACTCGCTCTTTCTCGCACACTCTCGCTCTCTCTCTCTCTCGCTCTCTCTCTTTCTCTCTCGCTCTCGCTCTCTCGCACTTGCTCACTGTTTCTCTCGTTTTCATGCACGATTATTCCTGTGAATAAACGATCGGTTTTCACCCGTGGGGAGATCGTTGCTTCCGTTTTTTTTTCTGTTTTCCTTTGTATTTCTTAATCTTTTCTTGTTTGTTTGTTTTTTTTTTTTTTGTTCGTCCACCTCTTTCGCTCCTTTCTTTTGTCCAGAGAAAATCCTGCTTCGTTTACGGTGCATCGTCCACGGATATCGTTGGAAAATATATATAGTTTGTCGAGTGGAGGGGTAGGGCGAAAGCGAACGTAACCGAACGAAACGAAAGTAACCGCTTCTGTACATTTGTCGTATATGCTTAGAACCTTTGGTGTGCATTACCTTAACATTGGACATACCGAACAACCCTCTTTAGTCCTTCTTGTCGCCGTCCTCGGGGTCCTTAAGCGTGTGCCATTGAGCAATAGGACGTCTCGGGGATGCCAACATGTCGGACCAGTGTCTCAGTTCTGTTCCACTCGCGTTGTACCCCAAGACGACCTTCCCAATGGGTTCTGAGGTGCCGATACGATCGTAGTCGACTACCGTGACAACCAATTGCACTTTCTAAACGCGAAATCACGTGTTAATGTATCGTCCCACGGGAAAATACATCGCCATACCTTCCGGACCGTAAGAAACCATCGACAAACTAGCGTTTAGGCATATTAATAGTAGAGTCTTAAAGTGCAGAGGTCGCGAGAATGGATCTCGGGGATGTCATAGGGCAACTATTGGCTTTACCATGTTTTTCTAGAGTCGAGACTTTCTTCTTTCATTAAACTTTCTTTAATGATCTTATTTTACGCTTAGACTCTACATTAAATTGGTCACAAGAACTGTTATACTTTTTGGAGCAGATTCCAGATCCCTTCTCGCGAGCTCCTAATCGTGCTTGTAGTACCGGGAAATATTAGTCTTAAACTGAAGGGATTGTTGATGGAATTGGATGTTATTAGGTAGATTTTGATTGGACGAATTGCAAAGACTTGGATAATTTTAAAGAACGAATAATATATGCACAAGCGATAGAGAATAAAAATATTATCTTCAAAAAGGCATTCTTTTTCCTATACACTATCACTCGAAAGTATTTCATCACTCGTCATATGTACGTTTAATAAAAGGAGAGAGTGTATTTGACGCATGATCAAATATTCTTTAATGGTAGTGTGCACGTGATACTTTACTTTCCAAATGGCATGCATAGCGATTAGACGCATGATTTTCAAGCTCGCACGATTTAGAAGAGCAAGTGCATCGTAGATAAAATATTGTGTAGCGATAAGAAATATTACAGTAGGCCTTACGGTCCGGAAGTATGGTATGTTCAAAAATTCATTAACATAATCCCTTCATAAGCTCGTGTAAAGCAGGCAGAAACGTGAATTGAAAATGAATTACTTTCCTTTAATAAAATTCATAGCATATAAAAGAAGGCTATTAATATTTCAAAAATAGAAGCTGCAAATAGCGTTTTTTCCTTTTTTTTTTTTTGCGAAGCAGGTTATTCGAGTAAAAACTAGCATCTTACGAAGGGCTGATTAACGCATTGCATACGGATCGTCTGTTTTTGCATGCTCGAGTCATTCCCCATGTCGTTATTCCATAACTAAAAACGTTACAGTTAAGATCGCGAAGTCTCATCTCACCAGTTTCTTTTTTTTTTTTTTGTTCAAATAACATTGCAGACGTCCGTTTGCAACGAGCCTAAGTATAATAGCTACCAGCTTCTTATATTACAAGGATACAAACAGATTAATAAATAAGTTACTGTAACCGTCCCTGTCTAAAATATAATTAAAAAGAAACGTGTGCAAAACTAATTCGGTGTTGGAGAAAAGTACTGAATTACGTGTACAGTTAATGTTACCTGTGTCTGTTAACTGTATTAAATAAAAGTAAGAAAAGAGGCAGGGGCAGTAGAACGTAAACGTTACGTACCTGTATCTGCTCGAAGGGTACCTCAAACGTGAACGATTCGTTGTAATACGGATTAAGAGTGCACTTCTTGATGGACGTTTTCTTCTTCTTCAACCTCTTTCCGTTCTGCATCAGAGCGATCTTGACGTACGGATCCGACAGGCCGCCGACGTCCATCTTCTTCAGGTTCTTCGCCTCCAGGATCACCACAGTCAATTTACCAGCCGTGGGCACGTAGCGGAGCGAGAAGCAAATGTCGCCTAATTTGTTGTCCTGCAATCAGCGTGTTCGCGTAAAATTTATTCTCCGTTCAAAATTATTCCTTCGGTGTAGATTCAAATATTCGTGTATAGATAGTTGGACTCTTCTGTTTATTATACGTACTATACGGAAACGAGAAGGTGGCTAGTTGGTTTGATTGGTAGCAGTGTAGTGTCCTATAGTATAATATATTATTCTGTAGAATAATTATGCTGTCACCAATCAGACTCATTAGCCAACTTCTCATCTTTGCACAGTAGGCTAAAGAATTTTGTTTTTTAATGAATACTATATGCTTAGAAGAAATTCGTTGATAAATTAAAAAATAAAATCCTTTTAAAAGAATTACCTGGCCACCCTCGCCCTCGACGCTCTGCAGCTCCCTCCACTCCTCGATCGTCTGAGCCAAATCTACTTGGCACAGAGGCACCTTCACCTCGCCGATTTGATCGTGTTTCGAGAATCTGTCGAAGTCGAAGATGGCGAAGACGAGCGTCTTGTTCATGGCGTCCGCGTAGGGAACGTTCTGAAATATAAACACCTCCATTAGCGATGGAAAAGGTCGCGTGGTACGAGAGAAAACGGACCTTGAACGTGAAAGTCTCGTTGAAGGCGGGATTGAGCGTTTTCCTGTGCACTTTTGTTTCGAACTTCTTCTTTTTGTCGGGCAGCAGGTAGACCTTCACGTAGGGATCGGACGTGCCACCCATGTCCAGGGCTGGCAGTTCTTCCGCTTGTATCACTGTCACCGCCAGGCTGTTCGTGTTGAAGTCGTATTCCAGCTGTAATTAGTCGTTCGTTCGCGATCATTAGTGGCGAGATTATTGCTTGGATAAAATTGTCCAGATGGAGGAATATTCAGGATTCCTTGTTTCTAGTAATATTTAGGAGTCTTAGTTTCTCAAGTAACTTGAACCGACGAACCTTGTATTGAAGCTTGCCGAGTTTCACCTCGCTCTGCTTGCTCTCCGCTTCGTCTGGTTCCTCGGCGTTGTCCGTCAGCTCTTCCATATCAGGCTGAACCTTAACAGATCGAAGTGGATTCCACGAGTGTAGAATGTGCGTCTAACATCTACATGAAGTCACGGAACACCGAGTGCGTACCTTGTCCTTGTACGTGCTGCCCAGTAGCTGCACGGACTTGAGGTCCACCGCGCCCTTCAACCCCTTCTTCCCGTCCTTGGAACGTCTTTTGCGACAGCATCTTCTTATGCAGCAGAAGCAGATTCCGAGAACTACTACGCCTACGGCTACTCAAGCGAAAAGAAGATTCGGTGGAATTAAAAAGTGCCGCGATTTTGGGGATGCTGGGTTAAGGGATGATGCCGCTAACCCTTCGCACTTTCGGAACCGTGTAATTTATTATCTTTCTGTCGATTTATTGAACTTATATATTTCACCATGTATTTCTCACAATACTTGGATAAAAGCCACGAAGGAAACGCGTATTTTTCAGTGCGAAGGGTTTGGTTTTCTAAATTCGTGTCGCAACTATCGTTTAAGCGCAACTCATAAGCGCGGGAAGCTCGCTCGGTCGTGAATGAGGGGGTTGAAAATTGACCATCGATCTAACAATTTTGTGAAGCATCTTCGATTAATCGTAAGCTTCGACGAATGGTCATTTTTCCTCGTGGTTCTTTCGAAATGGAGTAAAAAAGTATGCGAACGAGTGAAAGTTTCGAGTGCTAGCTCGACACGGAACTGGAACAGAGTAAGTTAGATAGTTAGTGTCGTTTGTTCGAGATACAGAGGCGCTCTGGATTGTTTGATTGTTCTGAAAGAGTAAAACAGTAGGCTTGTTGTAGTCGGAGAATAAAGATCATGTAGCTTGGAGAAAACGTTAATGTATATGTATATAGAAAAGTAAATGTAGGTTTTCGATACTATCGGTGAGTTTGCTAGAGTTTTGATCAGCGACAATTGTTGGTTGTCAATTGATGGTCCGTTGCTATTGCACGAAGTACTCGCACGTTGTTTGCTTTTACCTATTAGAATTGTAACGAGGCCCCATGTAGGTATTCCCATTTCTTCCGCGAGTTCCTTCCCGAGGTCCTCCATTTTGGTTTCGAAGGTTTTCCCTGCACTTTCGGTGACCACCTCCGAATCTGTCCCTGTGAAACGCACGAGATGAATCAGGAATGAAAAGAGGACAGTACATTTAAATGTCGCTCGAAACGATGTTTACCTTCTTTTACTTCCATGTCTGTGACCAGTAAGTTGTTTACCGTCGACTCGATGATGTTCTCCGTCGGCAGCTCTTCCGGCACCTTCTCTGCTTCCCTCTTGATGGCAGGCATTTTCTGTCCCAAGAAAAAGTAACAAAGATATCAGCACACGAATTTTTCATATGGAAACGTATTTAGCACACAGCAGCTTAAATAGAAAACAAAGTGTGTTTGGCTAGTTGCGTCAGGATTTTATTTTTCAAACGAAAGTAATTTAACACCGCGGTTAGTTCGATTAGCCTGGCATAATCTTCGATAAACTTTCCAAGTGGAATATTTATATGAAAAGGAGTGCCACCCCTTTTAATCTATTTTTAAGTGTGTCACGGACTCTCTCTCTCCAGAAAAAGTGAGCATGTTCTCGCAATGTAAGGTTCTTTCGTGTGAAGTTCACCATCGAGATAAAGTTCTTGGTTTGAGACGAACAACAAACTTATTTTCAGTTTCATTCAAATGAATCAAAGCTGAATTCGAATAGTACTGAATCACGAAGGATATTTGAATCCTACGCACTGCGTAACCATGCACCACTTTACTCAACGATAATTTAAAGAGTTTCACACGATTCACGTTTATACATAATTACAGCGTAAGATCACAGAACATCGAACATAACAGACACGTGACTAAATTTAGCGTATGAAACAGTTGACGTACTCAGACGAGGAATCGCGTAAAAATTGCAGTGAATTACGCGACGTTAAACTTCATTTTCTTTTTATTTTACTGGCTGTCGCAGACCATAAACGAGGAACGCGAATCGCGGTGTTTCCTCGAGCTAGGCTTTGCAATCAACGGCGTGTTTCCGGATTCGTAGATTGTGCGCTCGCATGAGTATCGCGGCGATTGCGTGCGCTGGCGACTCGCGTGATTTGAATCCCCTTCTCGATATAATAAGTGTTATTGTACAGGGCGGCCGATAACTGGCGATCAATGGCGACACGATCGTTATGCGTAAAGAAACTAGCTTTCAACGTGGAGAACAATTATTTTCCTACGAGGCTTCGTTCTCGAGAAAAAAGTAAATATATTTATTACTTTATCTGAACGAAGATTTGAAGTATTGAATAAAAAATGAAGTATCTATTATATGGATTAATTTGCTTGAATAGAACGATGACGCTTACGGTACTCGACACCCCGTAGATCAGAGTGGACTGGGTTCCCTTTGATAATTATCGAGTAATTGTCGCAGTAAAAAAGGACGAGGAATAAATGCGAAAAATTAGGTGAAAGGAGAGGCTTTTCCTTTGATGCCTCGATACACGAACGTCAATTAACGAATTAACTTTTCTCTCTTAAGTATCGAAAGCTGAAGCGACACTACGGGTATTACTCTTGCCCCACTTCGAGCGGATCCCGACTTTATTCTCCGCGATAAGCTTTCCATCGCGATTCTTTATTAAACGATAAATAGTTTACGACGAAAGGTGGAATAGCGATCGAACAATATCGAGTCCCACTCGTTAACCCGAATGACGTTGTTTATTTCGTACCCACGAATCAACGAGATTATTGCCCTCCGTTATCGCGTGCGTTAACTTATGCGAGCCTCGACACTTCCGGGTGCTATTTACTCAGTTACCCCGTGGCAAACGAGCTGGCGGAGGTAATTTTTAATTGGCAGGTACGAACGGCTCGATATCCTCTCCAGTATAACTTTGACGAAATGATAAAAATGTGTTAGGTTCCAATAGACTGAGATACTAATCGTAAGGAGGCCTCAGGGGCTTCTGATTATAGCTACAGATTACCTACCCTCATAAAATAAACAAATAAACACATGCCTCTTACGCAGTATCTCTTACTACAAAGCAAGAGTATCGACAAAATACAGTTCTCCTACTAAAAAAAATAAAAAAGAAGGTCAACGGAAACAGTCCAACCCTCCGTGTCAATTTTCTTCAGCCGAATCACATCCACCCAACCTTCCTCCACCTATGTCCCTCGAAGCGTGAAAACTCCCTTCGAAGGGAGAGAAGTTCCTCGAGAGAGGGTGTATAAGAAGATTCCATCCGTGGAAACGGAACGGTGGGACGTCATGAAAAATACCAGGGTGCGCGTAGGTACGCCAAATGTCGTCCCGGAGGAGGAACTGGAAGAAATAAGGGTGACGCGGTACTGTCGCCTTTGAGAAAGGTTGCGTGGGCGTGCATCGAGGGAAGTGCCGGCAGAAGGCGCGAAGCTTATGGCAGAAAAAGATCATGGCTCGAGAAGGGTAGCAAGAAGTCGAGGAACGCGACTGGCAGGGTCGCGGAGGAAATATGTGAGAATTACTTCGGCTTGCGGCTCTGTTCGTATCGCGATAACTCTGCCCTCTTTTTCTTTCTCTATTTATGGTGATTTAAGACTGCGAGGGAAATTTTATGACAGCCATATCGTCGCGAGTACGTGCCCCGAAGTAGACGACCAGAAGTAGATTATTATTCTGCGCCGTATTGGAAAGCTATGGATCATTCTGCGCGTTTGAGGAAATAGCGCAAACTCAAATAGGGAAAACAATGAACATATTAATCGAAATCATGGCTTGAAGTCGAGGGATCATTTTTCGTTTCATTCTTTTGGGGCTCGTAATAAACACCATTCGTAGTGCCCTATCCTTCTTCAAGGTGTATATTTTTGAATCAAGATACTGCACTTGATCTAGAAGCTTTCCCGTGGAACGTCATGAAAACTCCTTTTTACAGCGTACAGAGGGTTAATGGAGTTAATATCGAGTCGCACGCGTCTCTCAGCTGCGCCAGCGTTCACGATGACGTCCCACGGAAAAGCTCGCGAGATATTACGAGACGATCAAGGGAAATCGGATTTTTCTTTAAAGGGAAATAAAAGAGAAACTTGAAAGGGGAATCGCGCGGGGGATGCTCGTCCTGTCGCATTCGTGAACGAGATCTGACATTGATAAGCTTTCACTACTTCGTCCCTGATTCTTCTACAGCCCTCCCAACGAGATTTCGGGTAAATCGATTAATCTTGACGAAGCAGGTACCTAAACAAGAGGCGACCATCCCTTGATCGAAGAGTTCGACCTTAGCATTAGAGTGAACCAAGCGAAAGTATTTCATTTCCACGTTGTATAAAACATTTTTCGTAGCTCCAAATTCTTTTTGAAGAGTTAAAATAATTTTTATTCGGCGAGTGATGGCTAAATGGTTGTTTATCCTTTATCAAAATTACTTGTAGTTTGTATTTGTTATTTCGATAGGAATTATGCCCTCATCAGTGGTCGACGTTGGCCTCCAATAAAATGCGATAACAGAGCAGCGGAATATAACTATCCACCGACCAGCGAAATAATCGTTATCGTCACGCGGAACGATAAATTGACGTCAGAGTCGCGTCACCCACGCACATAATACTTCCCCGCATTTACCACAGTGACAGACAACCTCGGAGATAAACGAATGCACGGTTGTGTATTGTTTTTCATTTCACTCCATCGTGTCCTGTTTCGAGGATAATTCCACAGCTGTCGTGAAAAGATCGCGGCGATGGGCGTTCCGATGTCGTCGATCCGTTAAAATTTGTGACAGTATAACAATTCACGCATTTTATACCGCGTATACGATTTCCCTCTATAAACAAATCGTATACTTCAAAAAGCTTTCACCGCGTTCTAGTTGTTATATAAATATGTGGGACCTTTTACCGAATTCTTATCAGCTCTTTGTAGCAATAGGAATCGAACAATCTTTTTCGACTTTTAATACAAATTTATTCCTAGATAAATTCGTGTAGATTTATAAACACCACCTGCGTGGAAAAACTTGTCAGAATTGAAATGGGTATACAATCTCTTTTCTGTTTTTATTATGAAACAGTTGTACGTGTTTCTCTGGCTGATAGGGAAACGTGACCAAGTTTAGCATTCATGTTCTTTTAGCCATTAATGAACCATTGAAAGTGTTGGTCCAATAAAATACGAGTGCTTGGTGAATACAGCCATTGTTTCGAGGAAAACTTTCAGTACACGTGTCTTTAACAACGTTCGTCAATGTTTGGAGCACTCGCAGGATGAACGGTCTTGTTTGCCAACACGTCCAACGGGTGATAACCGTCTAATGTTCGCTTAAATATGCAAAATCAATAACAAGCTCGGTACCGTAGAAAATGAAGATGATGCGTAGGCGGCGCGGCGACTTAACGTCCTTCGATACCCACTTAAGTTGTGGGCGCGTCACGGTCGACACTACTCGTCTCGACCAAGTTCATAAAAATTGGTCGGAGGATCGTCGCAGGAACCGATGCGATAAAAATAATTGATTGCCATTGGGGCTCGTGGCAATTGGAGTGCTATTCGAATCGACGCTGGAAACTTTTTATTTTCGGAGTAGAACGTTGAAAAGGAGACCCGCATACTGTTCTCATTTTATTCGAAAGATAGTTTACACAACTAGGTCGAAACATCTTCGATTTCTTTGTTCCTCGTTGGTATTAATTGTGCACGAATTATGCATTTAACGTATTGCTCGAGTCCTGAAGTCAGATCATCCGATCTAAGTAACGAGAAGCATTCGATGAATGAGTGTGTGGTGAATGAAATTTGTTCGTACAATTAGAAAAAGAGGAATCCTAGATGCAACTGGGTAAAATAAGTCGATCCTTTTTTACTTTACTGTCGCTATCATCAAAAGAATACGTCCACTTTCGTTTGTTTTTATTAAGAAGAGTGTACGTTGTTCTCGTGAAGTTCTCCGCGAGAATCTCTCCTCATAATAGATGACAGTTTCATATACCGGAGGCAGAGAGCTCAAAGGGTAAATATCTCTGGGTAGCAACGCAATATTGTTTTACCAGAGCCGGCAACGTTTTACCGAGATGAACGTATCTCCTATGCGCCAGTGAACGTGTTGCGAATTTTGATGGCGTTGAAGTGTATAACCCCCTGGCTACTGCGTCGCGTTACAGACGCGTGGGTGTGAAAGGGTGTCGTGTTCCCAGGGTTTCACGTGTCGCTCAACTCTGCAGGGATCGGCAGACCACTTAGTCGTAATGATAGTTTCTCGCCGCGATCGCTGCTGAGGTCTCCGGAACAATTGCATCGATTTCTTAATTACATCGTCTCTTCAACCGTT